AGCTTGTCGTCAGCCTCAGAATTAGTAATGTTATATACTGTGCTGACTTGATATATAATGCATAAACCGACACGAGAGCTGCTAGCTAATAATGCAACTTTTTATATTTATTTAATCACATTTACACAAACAGAACTATAAATAAACGAGAAATTGCATTGCAACTTCACACATGCAACTCTGTGCTAGTTTGACCTTGTGTATAAATGATGTTGAAAAAAGATTGATACATTTTCTTTTTCCTTTTTAGCTACAAGCGTTGGCAAGTGTCATCAACTCCGAGTGAGGGGCACTCCAGACCACCAGTACCACCGGTCTCAAGCTTCAATAATAAAATAAACAAACTTGTAATAAACAAATTAAACGTGTTTGACTTTCTTTGGTCAATCATTACGATAGACAACTCGGATCACCAGAAAAATGATAGAAGAATGTAACGTAACATTTATTTTGATAATGCATAATCTAAGTAGCTATAGCTGTAGGCTAAACTAAAAATAAATAAATAGCGGAAATATTTCTTATAGTATTGATTTTTAACCATAATGTTACTGATTACGTTTGGTAACACAATAAAAATATACACTATCTCAACATTTGAATAATATTGTTCTGAGAATCATACCTCAGTGGACATGGCTCGGGCGTCAGTTTGGTTTGAAATGTGCTGGGGACAGAGACGCATTCGGAAGGGCATTTTCAAAAGTGCTGGGTAGGCTACAATAACGCATTCATTCTTTTTTTCTCTTTCGAGTAGGTCATGTTTTGAAAGACGTTGTCCTGTAGCTTCCTGATGCACATAAATAAAAAAATAAGCACAATGTCCGAGTATATTGAGTATATATACGCCCTTGATAGCATGTACAGTGATGGTCCGTCCAGAGGTAGAATTCCACACTCGAATAGTTTTTTTCCCCCCTCATTAAAACCAATAATGTTTATCAGTGGTTGAATTGATATAATGTTTATCAGTGGTTTTATATGTTTTGATGAGGGGGAAAAATATACGAGAGCGAAATTAGAACCCATGAGAAAAAGGGACACGTTTGTGTGCATTTTGATTTGTGATTTTACCTGAAAGAATCTCCGCCACGGATTGAAGCGCGTTTCTGAGAGAAGGTAACACATTTCAGTGCTAGATCGCCTGTTATTTAACAAACAAATGAAACGAATGCTGTTAACTGGAGATGTTCTATTTGCATTGGTACATCTGTGCCGCGAGATGTTTCAAAAGTGGTGGGGACAAAATCGACCCTGTCGTTCGCCTATGACGCCTATGTTCGCCGGCTTCTCTGAAAACAAATGCACATGGCCTCATTGGCCTGAATGAGATGGGAGGGGAGGGGGAGGGGAGGGGAGTTGACAACGAGTTTGCGACAGTTTTCTCATTTATATATATGTAACAAACTGATCGTTGTACAGCCAAGTTACAAATTAAATAAGAACGTCTATTCTAATTTCCTTTTCCTTTTTAAGATGGTTGAAAACAGAGTTCATGGAACATACTGCAAGTTCAAAATCTCCTTCCGTGTATTTCACACAAAACATACACACAAACAATAATACACCACAACAATATAAAGCCCGTTGTATGAGAGTAAGTGTGTGTGCATAAGTCCAAAGTCAATGTCTATAGTCCCGCGTGTGTGTGTGTGAGTGTGTGTTAAGATCAGCCTCACCAGAAGGAATGTCAACACCGTGAGCGTGATCAAAAGCGGGGATGACAGGCTTAAGTCCTCGAAAAGTAATCCTGGCAACGAGCCAATAGAAGTTCTCCACTGAGGAACGGCGAGTCGGCGCTTCTAAGACCATCGAACCCGGAAAAATCCACATAAACACCGGCCGGTTTTGTGAATGAGAAGACGCTTCTCCTGAACCTTAGTTTTCCGGTTCCTTTTATGGCAAACTAAAAGTCTTTTCCTGTTTACCTGTGACCAACGCCCACGTGACAAACGTCATCACATGTTCAAGCGCGCACAGAACTTGGGATGCAAATACAGTACAATAGCAAGGCATTCAGAGTAAAGAGTAAAGTAGAAAAAGTTAGGAAATTCCCGTGACTAAACATTAAATAATAGTCACTAACCATATCTAAACTTTCCTCCTATGTGGTCACGCTACATAGATCCCCCCCCAGCCTTCGGCATAGGTGGAGATTGTCCGTACCAGCGCTTTAGATTAACCACATTTATAACATCTGTTTTAAGTGGACTGCCCCAACTCACTGTGTAATTTATTGGCCCCATCCTTTTTAAAATCTCAGCTGGACCCTCCCACTTGGGCGCTAGCTTGGCAGCGAATTTAGTGGCGGCAAACGAGAGAGGGTGAGTCCTAATCCAGACTAGATCTCCCGGCTTGAATTGCGCATCCTTCCGTCGGGCATTATAATATCTAGCTTGTCTGGTTTGTTGTACCCCAACTCGGAGTTTAACCTCCTCTGCCATCTTGTTTTGACGTTCGACTAGAGTATAGGAAACTTGGTCAGGCGTAGGGGGTCTAAGGATCAACCTCTCCAGAGGTCCATTAAGCTGACGACCCAACATTAACTCCGCCGGAGCTCTACCTGTGGTCTCTTGGTGAGCTGTATTGATGGCGAACCTTAGCTCCGGTAACCACTGATCCCACGTCTGATGATATTGTCCTACATAGGACGCAATCATGGTCTTTACTGTCCTGTTGACTCTTTAAGTCAGGTTAGTTTGCGGATGATAGCTGGTAGTGAGTTTCTGGATGCTTCCCCAAGACCGACATAGTTCCGCTAGCACCTTGGATGTAAATTGTGCTCCTCGGTCTGACACCAGGTATTTAGGCACCCCCCATCGGGTAAATATTTCTTCTCTGAGTATTTTAACTACTTTCAGCGTCTTGCTATCTCGCAGGGGGAACAACTCCACCCACTTTGTGAAATAGTCAACAATCACTAGAAGGTATGTGTTTCGTTTCTTACTCAGAGGAAATGGACCCATGAAATCCATCCCCAAAGTGTGTCCTGGTTCATTAACCTGGGTATGCTGTAGGAAGCCACTTGGTCTTGTATTTTCATGTTTATATTTTTGACATATTTCACATCCTTTGACATACTGCCAAACATCCTTACGGACCGACGACCACCACGCTACTTCTAATAGTCGCAGCAAGGTTTTTAGTCGGCCTAGATGTCCTCCCAGCGGGTTATCATGGAAGTAATGTAAGAAACCTGGTATCAGCTCCTGCGGCACAACCAACTGGAACCGCTCTCCATCATTCTTGATTGGGATGCGCCGATATACCACCCCCTGGTGTTCTACGAAGGTAATCCTTTGATCTTGCCTCTTACTATTCTGGGGATTCCCCAGCAGGAGAGCAATATTACTGTCTCGGCTTTGGGCCTGCGAGATTTCTCCTAGAGTGTGAGGTATGTCGGATACATATCTGGGAGGGGTTATAGTCATACAGTGTGCACTGTCTCTTTCCAACGGCCCATAAGCTCGAGACAAGGCATCTGGTCCCAAATTAAGACATCCTTTCCGATGATGCACTTGGAATGTAAATTGCTGCAATCTCAGAGTCCATCGAGTTAACCGGGAAGATGTCTTTGGACAATTAAAGGCCCACGTTAAAGCAGCATGATCACTGTAAATGTCAAATGGCCTTCCTTCCAGGTAATGTCTCCATTTTTCCACTGCCCAGACCACCGCTAGACACTCTTTTTCCGAGGTAGAATAGTTTACCTCTGGTCCTCTCAAGGTTCTTGAGGCATAGGCTATTACTCTCTCCCCTTCAGAGGTAAGCTGGGAGAGAATAGCTCCTAGGCCCACATCGCTGGCGTCCGTGTGAACCTGGAATGGTAGATTGAGGTCCGGCTGCATTAGGACAGGTGGGTCTTGCAATTTCCGTTTGATAGTCTGCAGACTGGTTTGGCATTCTGTAGTCCAGTCCCATTTTACTCCTTTCTTCTTTAGATGGTTCAGGGGCGCAGTGATGTCAGCGAAGTGTGGAATGAATTTGTGATACCATCCAGCTAATCCCAAGAAGCGTTGGAGGGCTTTAAGATCTTTGGGCGTGGGATAATCTGACACCGCCAGGGTCTTTTCAGGATCCACTTCCACCCCTTTCTCCGACACGATGTGTCCCAGGAATTTTAACTGTCGTTTAAAGAAGTGGCACTTCTTCATGTTGAGAGTAAGTGAAGCCTGATGAAGTTTGTGTAGAATGGCATTCAGATGTTGTACATGCTCTTTTATGGTCCGGGAATATATTATAATGTCATCAATATATACAAAGCAAAACTGCCCTCTCAATTCTCCTAAGACTTTTTCCATCAGCCTCTGGAGAGTGGCTGCAGCATTTCTGAGTCCATAAGGCATAGAACGGAATTGGAATAGCCCCTGGGTGGTGATAAAGGCTGTTTTATTCTTACTTTCCTCCTCCATTTCCACTTGCCAGTATCCTGATCGCAAATCCAATGTTGTGAATCATGAGGCGCCTTCCATGGATTCGAGGATGTCATGAATAAGAGGCATCGGATATGCGTCAGGTATGGTCTTACTATTCAACTTCCTATAGTCGATGCAGAACCTGTAGGACCCATTCGGTTTAGGGACCAGGACTACGGGGGACGACCATGGGGAGCAGGAGGGCTCGATAATGTGGTCTCTTAGCATCAGACTGACTTGCTCATCAATTATTTTTTTTTTTAAAGGCGACACTCTGTATGCCCGAGATCTAACAGGCAGCTCATCACATAGTATGATCTTGTGTTGTTCTACCGATGTTTTACCGAGCAGCTGGGAAGTGGTGTGAGGCCAGGTCTCAATCAGCTTCAGTAACTCTTCCTGATTGTCGGAGTCCCATTTGGGAGTAACTTCCACATCAGGCGAAGCGAGAGAGAGATGTCCTGTAGAAGGCAAGGCATAGTAAAGACTCACGGTCGCAGAAGTGGGTTTTCTCTCTCCTACTGGTATCGTAACTGTCATGACCGAGCTCAAAAGGCCATGACAAAAACTGGGAAAGGACTCAGCAATTGATTTTAACAAGGTTTATTATAACATAAAGTAATCAAACAATACCTGAATAATGGGATGGGTTAGTCAGCAACCTCAGTTATGTAAGTGTGGATGAGTGGTCGTGGCGTAAAGTGTTGTAGTGTTAAAATAAAAACAAACATGAAACAAAACCAAAGCAAATGACGGCTGGTAGCAAGGATCAGAGAGCCCGACGATCTTGAAGGTGGAACTTTTATCTCCTCTGGCGCACTGGGACCAGGTGTTCTCAATCAGTAAGGATCTCTGCAATCAGCTCCTCAAAACAGAAGAACACATCAGCCTTGCAATACTGACACAGATACACAGTCAAGCCACACAGGGGCGTCACACCCCCCCCCCTTAAAGTCGGTGTCCCAAAGGGAATCACCGGCCCACCAACTTACAATCACCCACTACCCCATATACCTTAATTCAGCAATTACCTACAATAACAAAAATATGAACATACACCTGACTTCCCTCTGCGCATGGCCTGCTAAGACTCCCACCCAATCTTCAGCAACCTGGTACCTAGGAAGCAAATTTAAGAAAACAGGCAGAGCAAAGCAACTCATCCAGCAGCACAAATGTCATAGCACATTCAAATAACAGGGGCCCGTGATAGCGCATCTGCTATAACGTTATCTGCCCCTTTAATATGCCGAATGTCAAGGTCATAGGCCTGCAAAAACAATGACCACCTCATAAGTCTTTGATTTGGACACTTAAATGACTGTAAAAATGTCAAAGGGTTATGGTCCGTGTATACAATGACTGGTGCACCTCCTATGTACACCTGAAAATGCTGCAATGCCCAAATAAGCGCCAGTGCTTCCTTCTCTATTACCGAGTAATTAAACTGGTAACGGTTAAACTTCTTAGAAAAGAAACTAACTGGTCTTACCACCCCCTGATCATCCTCCTGAAGCAATACTGCACCTGCTCCGACCTGGCTAGCATCTACCTGAAGCATAAAGTTTTTATCAAAACATGGGGCTGCTAGCACAGGAGACGAGCATAACAGAGATTTGATACTATCAAAAGCTTGCTGGCATGCAAAGGACCAAACAAACTTAACCTTGGCCTTCAACAGCTCCGTTAACGGACACACCACAGTGGAGAAGTTCTTACAGAAACTCCTATAATAACCTACAAGACCCAAAAAACGCTGCAATTCTTTTTTTGTTGTAGGCTGAGGATACCTCTCCACTGCCCTCACCTTATCTTGAACTGGAGCCACCCGGCCCTGTCCCACTACACGGCCCAAATATGTCACAGTAGCCCTAGCGAAGTCACACTTAGCCAAATTAATGGTGAGATGCGCCTCAGCAAGCCTCTCAAACAAAGCCCGGATACGTTGAAGGTGAGAGTGCCATGTATCACTGTAAACCACTAGGTCATCCAGATAAACTGCACAACCCTTCAGACCAGACACAACACGATTCATAAGACGCTGAAACGTCGCTGGAGCGTTTCTTAAACCAAATGCCATAACATTATAAGAATAGAGTCCCGACGGCGTAATAAATGCAGATATTTCCTGAGCACGCTGAGACAAAGGCACCTGCCAATACCCTTTAAGCAGATCGAACTTGCTGACAAACCTGGCAGACCCCACCTGATCTACACAGTCATCCATCCTTGGCATTGGAAAGCAGTCGGGTTTTGTAACAGAATTTACTTTTCTAAAATCCGTACAAAACCTAGATGTTCTATCTACCTTGGGAACCAAAATACAAGGAGATGACCAACTTGAGGATGATGGTACAGCAAGACCGTTCTTAAGCATGTAATCAATTTCAGACTCTAGATGTTTCAATTTCTCTGGCGACATGCGATAAAACCGCTGTTTAATTGGCTGCGCCTCTCCCACGTCAATATCATGTTCAATCCAATCCGTGCAAGTAGGAACATCTCCAAACAAACAGGAATATTTCCGCACCAAATCAGACAGTTCACTACATTGGGTCTCAGACAAATGGGATAAAAGTTTATCCAAATTTTTGAGTGAGTCTGAATTATTCAACCGGCCATATAATAAACTATCATCAGGCTCCGGCACCCCATCTTCCTCCTGCGACCCCGAAACTGAGTTGACCATAAGCGCCGGACGTACCTTTTCTTTATCTGCCAGGCTGACCTCAGCGTCCCGACTGTAATAGGGCTTCAGCAGATTGACATGACACAGTTGTGTCGATTTTCTCCGTCCTGGGGTTGCAATGACATAATTCAACTCAGACATTTTTTTAGCGACTGTGTAAGGACCGGTGTACTTGGCTTGAAATGGAGAGCCCACAATCGGCATAAGAGCGAGAACCTGATCTCCAGGACTAAACTCATGGCGTTCCGTATGGCGATCATACATCTTTTTCATCCTGCTCTGTGACATCATCAACTTTTCCCTTGCCATCCCACCTGCTACCCACAATCGATGTCTAAACCCATTTACATAGTCAATCAAGTTCTTGGGCGGTTCAGTGTCCACCCAGCCATCTTTCAATACTGCCAAGGGCCCTCGCACTGTATGCGCAAAAACCAGCTCATTGGGGCTAAACCCCGTACTCTCCTGCACTGCCTCCCTAGCCGCCAGCATTAACCATGGAAGACCTTCCTCCCAGTCTTTATCCAGCTCAATGCAATACGATCGCAGGAGTGCTTTCAGAGTCTGGTGGAACCTCTCCAGGGCCCCCTGGCTCTGTGCATGGTACGCCGATGACTGGTTATGCTGCACCCGTAACATTTTTAACACCTGTTCAAACATGTGTGAAGAAAAATTAGAACCTTGGTCACTCTGGATTACTTTCGGTATACCAAACACGGAAATAAACTGAGTTAAAGCTTTCGTCACTGCTTTAGTTGTTATCGACCTTAGCGCATAAGCAGCAGGATACCGAGTGCTTTGACACATCACCGTCAGGAGATGCTTACATCCAGACTTAGAACACGGCAATGGGCCCACACAGTCCACAATGAGATACTCAAAAGGTTCATTTACAGCAGGAATCGGCTGCAGTGGAGCAGGCTTAATGGACTGGTTTGGCTTCCCCGTTAATTGGCACACATGACAGGTTTTAACATACGCTGCAACATCTCTTTTTACTCGCGGCCAAAAAAAATGCTTCAAGATGTTAAGATATGTTTTTTTAACTCCAAAATGCCCACTCTCATCGTGAGCCACTTTTAGGACCAGCGAACGAAACTTAGCTGGCACCACTAACTGAAACACTGGATCTCCCACAAAGTCATTACCAAGAGTAACCCACTTCCTGAATAACACACCATTCCGCACAAAGTAGCCACTACCTGCACTACTTATCACTGTAGCAGAAACAACACGATCAAACATCTCTTTCAGTGAGGGGTCACTTTGCTGCTCCTGCAATAACTCACTCACTGACACGGACAAAGGAAAATCAGACAAGGACGGAGCTACCAACTCATCACCACCACCCCCCTCAGATGATGCCTCCACATCAGACTTAACCATTGCTCGTGTTACCACACAGGCAGAAATGCCCTCAGATGAGTCATTTACCTTCTGATCTGAAACATGACTAGGAGTAACCACCGGTGATGGCGCAGCGTCAGCCCAAACCCGACCACCAGTCAAGCCATTACCTAAAATAAAATGAATCCCCTCAATGGGCAACGCCGGGCGCACTCCTACAGCTACTTCACCCTGCACCAGCTCACAGTTTAGGACTATTTTGTGTAAGGGAGTAGGCAAAACAGTTAACCCCATTCCCCGACTCAATATTCGGTCACCAGTGTCACTGGCCTCCGATAGCGGCAGTATAGAACCCACTATAAACGAGTCATAGGCCCCTGTATCTCTTAGGATTTTCACTGGGACTTTAGTGTCATCCCCAACCAGCGACACAAAACCACTTCTAATAAAAGGGCCATATGCAGCCAAAATGTCAGGTTCACAATCAGGGACAAACAATTCAGAGATCTCACCATTATCCACAGGCGCAGCCGCTGCAGCAGGCTTAACCTGGTGTTTGTTAAACTTATTTCTGGACTGCAACACCGGACACTCAGCTTTCCAATGTCCTCTGTCGTGACAATAGTTGCAACTTGTATCGTGATCCGCACTCCCTCGGGGCTTACTATCTGCTTTAAACAACCCAACTTTGCCAGAATGCATCCTGTCACCTAAAGCCGCGCCCACACTCTTACCTCTCCATCCAAAATCATCACGTGCCACTGTGCGCTCTCTAAAATTGCCCTTATGGAGTAATACATACTCATCTACTGACTCAGCCGCCTCTGCAGCAGTAGTGAACTTTCTCTCTGTAATGTATGTGGCAATATGCCCTGGGAGTGTATTTCTAAACTGTTCTAAAATAACCAGATCAAACAAATCATCAAACGTGTGAATTTCCAAGGCAGTTAACCACTTTTTAAAATGGTTAGTCAAATCCCTAGCAAACTCCATATGTGTCTGGCCATTCCTTCTCTCCCATGACCTGAACCGCTGACGATATGCCTCTGGCACTAGCTCATACGCCTTAAGCACGGCTGATTTGATTTTTTCGTAGTTAGAGCTATCATCCACACTCAATGACGAATAAGCTTCCTGCGCTTTCCCTGTAAGAGCGCACTGAAGCATTAGGGCACAATCTGCATCAGGCCAGTCCCTCGCCTTAGCCACACGTTCAAACATCACAAAAAAGACATCTGGGTCTCTCTCATTAAACTGCGGTAACAATCGTAAATTACTAATATCAAAGGGACGCACCCCAACCGGCCCATGCTTACCACGACCGTCACTGGGCCACCTGCCCTCTTCACCCAAAGACAGACGATATCCCTCCAGATCTAACTTGGATTTCTCTGTCTGCTGACGAATCCTCTCTAACTCAATTTGTTTTTTAATTTCCAATTCATGTTTAAGTTTCTCATGATCCATTTGCATCACCAGTAGCTCCTTCTGTTGCTCAAAAGTGAGGCCCTGCACCTGTATAGGTTTAATAATGGGAATTGGAGAGGGATCCTCTAATTCTTCAGTTATAATCCCCCTTTCAATTAATTCAGCTTTCACCGTCATTTTAATATTTTCTTTAATACGTTTATCTCCAGTCACCACTATAGAATAATGCTCAGCTATTTTTAGCAACTGCTCCTTTGTGCATTTCTCCAAAGCCTCCTCAGACGGAGCCGCCACAAACGTTTCACAGTCAGCCATTTCCACTACTCATTACACTCAGCCAAATCCCAACAATTTACCGTTCCAGCAGGCCCAGCTAGACAGTCGCGTTTCCCTGTGAGCACTGAGAGGACTAAACCTCCATGCGGTTTGGAGTTTCCCCGCTACCTAAAAATCACCCAACTAACTAAACTCCACTCTAGTCTTCATGTGGGTACTTGTGGTGGGTATTTACGCACTGAAGACCGCTGGACCAGGAGAGCGACTAGCAAGCTAGCAACCCACCCAGAGCCACGGACATGCTCCCAAGCAAAGCTTCACCCACGTTCTCCACAACACTAACCCCGATCCGCTCAACGAAACCCAAAAGGGAATCGTCGCTACCACCTACAAGAGAAAACTCCAAACCACTTTTTATACAATGGCACACAAGGACCCACAACTATCATCTGGCCCCTAACCCAACGTCTGGACTAAACTTCTCCTTCCCCAGGCTAATTAATGAAGAAAACAAAAGAAAAACAAAAATATATATATAATTCCACAACAACTTCCAACCAAACCTAACGCTTACTCTGCCAACTCAAAACAGCAAAATCACACTGCGCCCTTTCCTTCAAACATTCCCCAATCAAATCATGGTAACAAAGGGGAAAAACAAATTAATTTATCGTACCTGCGCTACCCTGCTCACAACCAAACCAAATCTGATAATCAAACAAAGCAACATGTGCGACTAACTGTTCGAGCACTCCACAAACCTATTTCAAACAAATCTACAAGCATCTCATATAGATCGCGCTACTCAAACAGTTCAAAAACGGACGAGCCCCCATTTTGTCATGACCGAGCTCAAAAGGCCATGACAAAAACTGGGAAAGGACTCAGCAATTGATTTTAACAAGGTTTATTATAACATAAAGTAATCAAACAATACCTGAATAATGGGATGGGTTAGTCAGCAACCTCAGTTATGTAAGTGTGGATGAGTGGTCGTGGCGTAAAGTGTTGTAGTGTTAAAATAAAAACAAACATGAAACAAAACCAAAGCAAATGACGGCTGGTAGCAAGGATCAGAGAGCCCGACGATCTTGAAGGTGGAACTTTTATCTCCTCTGGCGCACTGGGACCAGGTGTTCTCAATCAGTAAGGATCTCTGCAATCAGCTCCTCAAAACAGAAGAACACATCAGCCTTGCAATACTGACACAGATACACAGTCAAGCCACACAGGGGCGTCACATAACACCTCCAGGATTTATGGTAGTCGTTATAAAAGAATGATACATATACCCCTTGCCCACTTTCAGACCATATCTCCCTTGGCCTACATCCACTACAGCTTCAGTGGCTCTGAGGAAATCCAAGCCTGCTATCAGGGGAAATGCCAAATGAGCATCCTTCATGATATATGTATCCACACCACATACTTTCTCATGCCAATTGTAACAGATGGTTTTCTTATTGAATGCTTGATGTATCTTCCCGTCTGCCATAATGAACTGCTGAAGAGGTACCAGAGGGTTAGCACTTGGTTCACCCCCTAACTGTTTCCACAGACTTTCTTGCATTAGGGTGTAAGTGCTCCCAGTATCTAGTACAGCCTTCACCTCTTTCCCTTTTATTGTTACCGGGACTACTAACAGGGAACTTATAGGGTGTGGTTGCGCAATGGATAATCCTGCTAGACTTTTAGAGTTATTCCGTTCACTTGGTCTTTTATTGGCCTTTTCCTTCCCATTCTGACAATCCACCTTCTGCCAGTAATCCTTAACTCCCATGCAGTCTTTTTCCACCATTGAACCCACTTTTACCAGTTGTTCCACTGTCTTCACCGTTCCCCTCAAACAGCCTGCCACCCTGGGATTCGTGTTGTTAAGGATGCGGCTCACCATCTCTTCTTCAGCCATATCAGGTTTCCACTTAAGACAGAGGGCTCTGTAATCATAAGCGAAATCTCTTAGGCGTTGACGCGGCAGCTGCACCAGAGACCGCAGCTTATCCTCCACCTCAGCGAGGTAATCATCTGGAAGAAACGCATCCATAAATGCCTCTTTGAACGATTGCCAATCAGTCACCTTGTTCCTCTCAGCCTTCCACCAACTCAGGGCAGGTCCTTTAAGAACCGTGCTCAGGGTGCCGACCAGCTCCACACTTGGAAGGGGTCTGATGTTAAGATAGTTCTCACACTGTTCAATAAAGTTGAGCACTTCCGAAGTCTCAGAAGACTCTCCAAACGTCGGAAACTCCAACCGAATTGGGGCCGGCCGCTGAAAGATGAGACACTGGCACCACTGGAGGGGTAGGCACATTAGATACAGGATTATTTACAGAGGTTACATCATAAGTAGCATTGCCTGTCTGGGCAGTGGGAAAGTTAACACTAGATGTAAACGTGGTCTTTCTATAATCATGAATCGAAGATATGGGAGTAGTTGGTGAATAGGGCTGTAATCTAGACAGATAAGAAGGTGTACTGGAAATTCGCAGCTTTTTCAATTGATTCTCCCATTTTGCATCTCTTCTGAGAAAACAATCAAACACCGCTCTCTCCAACTTTTCCTGTGATTTGCGGAAAAATTCTTCCAAATCTGCCAAGCCAGCGTCCACTGCCTCACGAAAACTAGTTTCTCTATTAATCGAACTGTCCACTGCCTGCTTACAATCATTTTCATTTGTTTGTACTCTAGCACTAAGAGCCAATAAATCCACTTTAAGTTTATCAACTTCAGTTTGCATTGTTTGTAACACATTCACATTCAATACACTGCTTTCCTCATCATCATCATCCTCATCATCAGATTTTTCCTCATCATCAGAAATATACAATGAGCTAAGCATAGATGTTATTTCACCGTAGGATTACGTCTAGTTACAAACGGACCAGCAGTGAAATCTGCAGCTGATGTTACACCCAAACTCATTCTTGAGTCTGGAGCACCAGCATCAGAGTTATTGGTATTTACAACTTGTATATTTTCATTAGCATTTCCATTCGGAGATTTCATTCCATCATTTACATTTATCTCTTCATCCATAACCAGGAACAACAAAGAAACAATTTCACAAAAAAAAAAAAAAGAACAGAACGTCCCCGTACGGGCCACCACTATGTAACAAACTGATCGTTGTACAGCCAAGTTACAAATTAAATAAGAACGTCTATTCTAATTTCCTTTTCCTTTTTAAGATGGTTGAAAACAGAGTTCATGGAACATACTGCAAGTTCAAAATCTCCTTCCGTGTATTTCACACAAAACATACACACAAACAATAATACACCACAACAATATAAAGCCCGTTGTATGAGAGTAAGTGTGTGTGCATAAGTCCAAAGGCAATGTCTATAGTCCCGCGTGTGTGTGTGTGTGTGAGTGTGTTAAGATCAGCCTCACCAGAAGGAATGTCAACACCGTGAGCGTGATCAAAAGCGGGGATGACAGGCTTAAGTCCTCGAAAAGTAATCCTGGCAACGAGCCAATAGAAGTTCTCCACTGAGGAACGGCGAGTCGGCGCTTCTCAGACCATCGAACCCGGAAAAATCCACATAAACACCGGCCGGTTTTGTGAATGAGAAGACGCTTCTCCTGAACCTTAGTTTTC